ATACTTTATGCTTATTTAAAAATCCCTTCCCTTCCCATTTAAACTGAAAAGATTGCCTGTTATTATTGCTTGAAGCATTTAATTCCTTCCTCCAGCTCTAAAAATCTGCATTTGAAGTTGTGGCTGGTGAGAAGACTTACTGTCTCCTCTTGTGTGTGTTTTTGGTTTTTCTGTATTTTGGTTGCCTGAGTTTGTAAAAGATGTGTTTTTGTGCACAATATTACTTCTTAGAGCAGCTTTTAAAAAATGACTACGGATGCTAAAAGATTTGAGAATGGAAAAAGTTCTGTTGCTCGTAACTTTGATGAAGGAAGTATTTTGTGCCTAACAGCCTCGTGCATGTGTATGGACAGAGAGACAACGAGAGACGGCATGCTTTTACATCAGGAGGGCGCCCGTATTTTGCAATGGGTTTGTTCCAGCGTAGGCAAAGCAGGGTCCCTGGAATGCTTGTGATGTGCAGGCTCTTGCCTGCCTCAGAGCCCCTTAATAGTCTAGGAAGAATTCTGGCTGTTTGATCTGAATGCTGAATCAGTGCGACTTAACTTTTTAACTCTTGGCATTCTCGTTAAGAATTTTGCTGCTGGCAAATGCTTCCCTCGGGGTTTGACATAGCGCGTGAGTCAAGGGATTGGTGTGGTATTTGAAGCTCATTGATGTCCTTTTGGTGATGAGAGAAACTCTATGCCAGGCTGTATTTAAGGTATTTGAAAGAGGAAGCATGCCGAGGTTGGCAGAACCTCTAATTTTTTTAATTATTATTAATTTTTCCTCTCCTTCTTTGAAATCCTAAAGGCATTTGTAACTTCTGCATAATAGTTTGTGTCTACCACCTGAGAAAAAGCCTGGAGTGGGAAGAGCTGTCTGGATGCTGTGCATTCGCAGCGAAAATGGCTGACCTTTAGATAAGGCTAGTTTCTATTCTCTATCATAAGGAAGAAGCATTTTTTTCTATTATGAGAAAATAACTGTTATTTTTATAAATTAATTATTATGGTACTGTCCTGTAACTTTGCCACTCAGTGCCTCAGTCATGCATCTTTAAAGTTAATTAGGAGATCTTTTTCCATTGACTTGAATGAGAGTGGGATCAAGTCTTTATCAAGGTTAGGAGGCTTAAACAGGGGTTTTGTATACTCTGAAATTACAGTGTGAAAGGAACAGAAGAAAAGGGAAAGGATCATTTTTCAGTATACTGCTGCTAAGTGCAGTATCTCAAGGATCCCCTTATAAGTCTGTATCTCATTTTATTGTTGTAAAGGAACAGGATGGTTTATCTTTGGAGTCATTGGTTTTTGTACACTGAGATAATGGTGTAAATGTTGTAGTTTATACTGAGTGGAGAGTACGCTGGCAGAGCTAGCATCTATTTAAAAGCCAAAGAGCTGATCTGCGAGCAGCGTGTGTGTCTTTGGGGAGTGGGAGGGGAGGAAGGTAGTTGTAGTTTACCGCTTCTAGAGATGAATGAAACGGTCAGTAGTAAATGAGTGGCCAGCGGCTGACTGAGACTACACCTGGCCAGTGCCTCATGTTGTAGATTTATCTGCTGCTGAAGTGTCAAGGCTTTGACAGTTTGCAAGGAGTTAAAGCTCTCAGCAGGAAAGTGGAAGAAAGTTTAGCTGGCTTTTAAATTCAAGGCAAAGAGCAAACCATTGCTTCTTACTGTTGAGTGTTGACAGGCACATAAAAGCTGATAATGTAAGTCCAGGGGTTTAAGAGACTTAGTAGAGTTGCTTTTTTTGTCGTATGACTGTATTTTAATGCCTCATTAAAGAAGCAGAGCCCTTTGAAATTCTTTACTAGATGGCATTTTAAAAAAAATTGAGATGCTTGCGTAAAAATACCGATGTTTAAAAATTAAGTCATCTTAACCTCCATCTTTAATTTCAGGTGGGTGAATGAAAGGACGAAAGCTCACAGTTCTGAGCCCCGAATGGTGCAGTAGTGGTATCTAAGGGCTGCCACTGTCCTTCTCAAATACGGGTTCTCACAGTACCACTGAAAGGCAGATAGGTGTTACCCACATTGGTTTTGCGCATAGGAAAGGAAAAGGCACAAAAAGATGTGATTTGCCTGAGTCTGTGCTGCCAGACAGCAGAGCACAGCTGTTGAACCTGGCTTTGAAGATTTTTCTTTCTGATTTTTTTTTTTTTAAAGTAGAATGTCCCACTGAACAGAAATTTTTGCTCTCTTGTGCTTATTGAAACATAGCTGTGGAGTGTATTTGCGATTTAAAAAAAAAATCATTCAACTTGAAGCTATTTCAAAATGGATGCTGTGCTGCTCTGAGAAATCAGAGTATGCTGTAAAACAAGTCTGTGCTTAAAAAACAAAAAAACAACCAAAGGGAATGGGGAACCTAACCCCCAAATTGTTGCTTGTTTGGCATAACAGCTGCAGAATTGGGCTGTGTATCTGTTTTTGTCTTAGAACAAAACTCTGTATTTACATGTAGACTGTAGTTATTGTGGGTCTTTACTTATAGTTATTAATTATATCTGTACAGATTTCTTAGAGGAACATGTTAATGATATATCCTACTAAGCACTCCTGTTTGTTTATCTGATACTTGAATTGCTTGAATACTTGTTTGAAAACCTTCTAAAAGCGCCTAGCTCTTAACAGAGGTTTAAATACATATACAGCTATTGTGGTGGGCCTCAGAGTTTTTTCTCTGTGATAATGCTCTGATAGTTTTTCAACCTGCTAAGAATTATTACACGAGTACCACAGCTGATTCCCTGACTAAAGGATTAGGTTCAGACTTTGCGAGCTAGCTCTTGTTTTTTTTGTTGCAAAGAATTGTTTTATGCTTTGCCCTATAGTTGCTTGTTATGACTTGTTTCTTCCTATAGGATCTATAATTCTTTTCTTCTTGTACAACACCTATCTTGATACCTGCCCTAGCGCACTTAATACCGTGTAAAGCAATGAAAAGCTAAATCTGAACTATCAAAATAAATTACTGAGGCGGTAAGCTTTGATCACTTGATAAACTGAAATATTCATAATGCTCAGTGAGGTTTCCATTGCTGGTACAAATTGGTGAGAAACCATTTGTAGCTTGTGATGTGTTAGCTTAAACCTATGCAGTGTAAAGTTTGTTGTTTTACAACTGACGGTTGCCTAGATATGATGATTCCAATGGCAGCAGTGCAAGTGCAAAATTTGAATGTTAGTCTGTAATATTTTTTTGTTGTTTGTACTGGATTTTGCACAAATGATGACTAGTTTTAATTAAAAGAGAATGCAAGGAAGACTTTTTGGTATACTTATTTTCTTCAAAACAATTTTTGAACTCTGCTTGATGTTATTTTCATAGAATTTCATTTCTAGACATACTATCAATTTGGCAAGTTTTTCTTGTTTTGTTTTTTTTCTTGTAACTAAAATGTTATGTAACTAGACACACTTTCGTGAAGACATCTTAAGTAAAACAAAGCATGCTTTAGTCGCAAAGTAAATCTGTCATTTTAAATATTAAGAGAAGCTCCATCCTTTTACACAGTTGTGTTTTATTGCATCCAGAAAATACAACTGAGCTTTCTAAATCATCCAGAACTGAAGATTTTTTATTTATTTACTTTAATTAAAGCTGCCTACTGACAATACGTCAGACTGAAGACTCAGCATATCCTTTGTTCATTACCAAAGAACAAGGAGTGGTCACAGAACCGTGAAACAGTTAAGGTTGGAAGAGACCGTGGTGTCATCTGGTCCAAGCCCTTGCTCAGAGCAGGGCCAGCAAGGTCACATTGCCCAGGGGCTGTGTCTGATCGAGGTCTGAACACTTCTGAGGATGGAGATGCCACAACCCCTCTGGGCAGCACGTTCCAGTGTCTGACCACCCTCCTGGTGAAAAACCTTTTCCTAATATCTTGTTGGGCTTGCCCATGTTCCAGCTTGCATCCATTGCCTCTTGTCCTTCCACCACGCACCTCTGTCTTCCCTACGCCCTCCCGTCAGGTACTCGTACACGGTAATGAGGTCTCCTCTTAGCATGCCCTCCTCCGGGTGGAGCAAACCCCACTGCCTCAGCCTCCTTTTGTATGTCGTGTGCTCCAGCCCCTGACCATCTCGGTGATTATGAAGTATGGGGAAAATAAAAACGCTTTTTTAGTTAGCCAGCCTATTCTGTTTACCTTTGCAGGCGGAATCTGGTTTTTATTCTTCTCCAGGGCAAAAGAGGTAAATGCATTTTTATGCCCTCACGGGGCCTAATGCTTTCCAAACCTGTGATCCTTGTGCCCTGGCAGTTTGTCACCCGCTTCTAAGGAGGCCACAAAAGGTAACAAAGAAATGTAAGGTTATTGCCAGTTAGCTTAAATTCTGGATATCCACAGCTCCAGTAGAAATATTTTTAAGGGATCGCTTCTTGGAAAAAAAGGTTGAAAACATTTTCTATAAACCAGATGTGCAATATTCTGTATATAAATTCCTGTTATTTTCCCTTGACATCCAGGGAAGACAGGAGTGGACAAGCTTGGATCCAGAATCTTAACTGCCAAGAGGGATGTTACTCTTGGAAAGAGCCGGTTTTTTGGATATTTGCTATGTTTAGTGCAGAGGTAATAGATGTGCTCAGGAATCTCAGTCAGAAATCATGGTCAAGCTGAACTGGACAGTGTATGGATGTGTCATGAAGAAGCAAGGTTTTCACTTTTAAAAATGACAGGAGCACAAACAACCAGAACAGGGGGAAGGTAAGAGGATCAGAAAGCGAGCACATTTTCAGCAGAGAAATGAAACTTGAAGCTTATTATGACAGCTCTATCCTTGTTAAAAGTTTGGATATGGCAATAAAGATATAACCACATAACTTCTGTTCAGTAGTTAGTATATCTCTCCTAAAAGGGAATGCGTGCTGAACTTTTTGTTAGGATTCGTACTAGACTTTTTGGTATTCTGGGGCTTTTGGGGGGCTTTTTGGTTGTTGTCATCTTTAAAGTCTATTTAATACGTCTGAAAGACATTTGATTAGCAATATTGTTCTTAATCTCACCTCTGTGTACAACAGGTGCTATACAGCCTTTGTTGCTTCTTCATACCACAAAATGGATGTGGTTCACATCTGAACGAAAGCAGCCACCTTTAGTGCAAGACTCCAGCCTGCTGCAGTGCTTCTCTGCCCTACTGTGACTGTCTCTAAGGGTGCTGACACTCCAGTTGTTGCTGTCGCAATACAGTCTTTTCTCCTGGAGATGTGCTGAGTCTACCAATTCATTTTATGAGGGCAGCCCACCAGCCATTGTAAGCTTTTGCTTTCCATTGATGTGCTCCAGATGTTAATGTGTTACCTGGAGGTGAAAAAACATTGTGAAGGCATCCATTTTTTGATATATGTGCAACTTTACTGCACTTTCTAAAGTGACCAGTTTGCCAAACAATTTTTTTTTAAATCACCTTGACTTTGGGAGATTTTTTAAAATCAATTGTGAGCAGTGTTTTCTGAACAACCAAATGGAGATGTCCCCCCCCCGAAATCAGATTTGCATGCATGTGTTGTATAGTATCTTGTCAGGGATCACAAGAACTGCTCTGAAGCTGTTCCAGTTCAGTGGGTCAAAAATCCACTTTTTATGAAAGATTAACTGTAGATTTGCACAATTGACTGTAATGGCTCCAATTTTAAAAATAGAGGTAACGGAGAGCACTTCCAGTTGGTGGGATAATTCAAGAATACTACATGCTCAAATGGCTAAAATATTGTGCTTTCTGCTGCTACTTCATGCTATTAAAAAAAAAAATAATAAAAATATACATATA